AATTTTTAACTGTGTACTGCTCTCCTCGTTATCGCGACACGAACGTCGCGGAAAATTTCTTTTGGTGAACGGCAACGATGTTGGATCGGCGCTTCTTCTTCCCAGGTCTCGGTCGGAGCCGAGTTACAGTTACGTCAGTCTCACATCTCGCACATAATTCACCGGACAGCGGTTGTGGCGCACCGATGCGACGGCTCCGATGAATGATGAATGCCGGCGTTCGATTGGCCGCGGAAAAGGAAAGTAAGTCCACTCATACGGTGGATGTTGGACGTTGAGCTTGTGATCCATCGGCTTGGCGTGCGAGTGACCCCTCCCATTGCGCGCGATGAATCGCCGCAGCAACGGTACGTGGTGACGTCATTGAGTCTCCGCCTCACTCCGCTCCGATCGTCGATTTTAGTCGTGGGTTGTTTACGATCGCTGTTCCGAGCAGAGACAATATGTTTTGAAGCGCATGTTCGTGCCGATTCAATCGGTTCGACTTATTGTTAGCCGGCTGAAATTGCTGACATCGCACATAGCAACGAGCCAGCAGAAGAGGTCGAACATACAATTTTTGACTAAAATTGCAAATTTTGATGTTTATTTCGTCACAATTTTAATAACTAGGGGTTTTTCTGAAGGAAAATTTCATGAAAAATCCAATAGAACCACTTGGGAACTTTTATGTTTCATATTTCCGAAGATGTGACCTTTCAACATTTCAAAATTTGTCAAAGTCCTACTGACTTTACACTGTGCATCGGTAGCATCAGTGGGGCAACAATCAACATATCCATCTATCTGTGCGGACCAATCACAGAGCTTCCAGCTGGATTCACCGAGCCCCTGATATTTTACGGGGTACGGGTTGAATCCCAACGATGACCCCGGTAATCACCAACCATCCGTTTGGTGAGCCCCGAAAACGAGGATCATCGAGTTCACGAAGAGATACGGATTCACTGGATCGGATTCGAACGATCTACTCGATCCGACCAGATCCTACGCGAAAATACGCTTGTGAAGACCCTGCACTTCCAGTCTCAGCGATATAGGTAATCAATTCATGAGGCAAAAATTAAAATCAGGGGTCGAGGTTGTTTTCCGCCTTGTGGTGGTTAGTGGGCAACTTGTTAAACAAATAATCAAATAGAAATCGCCGGGATGAGCACTTTGCTCGGCGAATTTTTGCGAATTAAGGCCACGATACACGCTCAAATTCCGAGCCGATTCCGATAGAGATTATTTGGGCGGAGTTAAACAGAAAGGAACCAAGCCACATCGGGATCGAACCGAGAAAAAGAGGTTTAAAGTTTGGCTCCTGCATAAGACTCAATGTAAAAGATAAACTTCAAGTTCAATTTCTGCAAAATTTGCTCCAACAAAAACTTTGAATTTTTGGCGATAGATAGTAGAGCAGTGGTTGAGTTAAAAACCACTCATAACTCAATTTTTTCCAAAATGTGGGTTGGTTCCTTTCTGCGTGACTCAGTCCATTTGATGACCGTCGGTCACCATGGAACACACTTCTCGGATCAAAATTGGGCGGCCCATATAATTTTGATCCAAATGAAGTGCCACCATTCATCATGTTCTGCCAGCGGCACGCTCACATAGAAAGTTCTTACGTGATCGTGAGTCCTGGAAAGGATAGAGTTGTATGGACCATGAATGGGGCTCTCGCGGAAATAAGGATATATGTATCGGAATAGAAAACCTGGGTCACTATGTATGATCACATCTTATGTTTGCGTCAGCTAGGACGAGCTAGGACTGCCATGCTCCGACTCGAGGAGACTTGGACTCTTTTCACTTTTTTATTTGTGGGTAAATGAATAGTGGTTAGTCCACGTTTTTCATGGTCCAAGTTCTCGTCAAGCATGTTTGCTGACCTTGACCGAAATCTCAGGTTCAACTTCTGCCCATGCCCATGTGAGATCCAGTTGTGAGCTGATGCTGCCGCAAGTATTGATTGACGATCGACAGCTCGCGCGGTTTTTGCTATTTTAGGAAATTTTCACTACCAATCAGTCTCAGGAATAGAACTTTGTTTCCTCGAGTCGAGCAAAAATATAGTTATATCTCCGTCGCAGGCAAATATCCAAAATTGATAATCGTTACTTTTTTTTCAGGTGTGTGTTACTAAAGAGTAGATCCCTTGCCTTCTTTAATGACGCTGTGAGAAAGGGGTCGGGATAAAACCATTTGCAGTAGAAGGGTATTTAAAATTACTAGGAGCACAGTGAAATTACCGAACTTCCTTCGCCGGATAGGATTTTTCATTAAAAATATTTACGCGACAAATTTCAAGCGTTAGGTTTCTTGAAATCGTAAAAGGCAGAGACAAGAGACCCTCCACTGGCCTCCTAGCGACAGGTGGAAGATTTTACTTTCGGGGATTCAATAGTTCCTTATGGACAATTATTAGGGAGCAACAGTCATCACCTCAATTTCGGCTGTTGACCTACCTACATGGTCAATGATGAGCTTCGGGTGACGTCATGAGCCAAACAAGTTTCGCAAACTTCGGCTATTTTCAACTTGTTTGCAAAACGAAACTGCCAACACGTTGTTGAACATCAACCATGTAGGTAAGTCAACAGTAGAATGCTGAAGTCCCGAAAGTAAAAGCTTCCACAATGGCCAAGATACTAGTGGAGGGTCTCTTGTCTCTGGTAAAAGGTAACACTATTCTTTAGTTGAAAGAAAAAATTCCAAGGTTCCGAAGCAAGAATTCCTAACTTTGTAGGGTTGGGCGAGCTTCCCCGACTTTTCAAGAACTCGTCACCCCGTTTCAGCAGGAAATTCACGTGCAAATCTCACGCTGACGATTTCCTCAGAGCTGACTAACTCCAGACGCAAGAAAATTTTCCCTCAAAGCGGGAAAATTCCTCCCCAGCCTCACGTCCGCTCGACGTGCGGGAGCCAGGTCGATATGTTCCGCTGTGCAGCCTCCAACCACCCCCTCCCCCTCCCCACGAATCACCGCCACCCGTGACCTTCCGGTGAAAAGTATAATTCCGAGCGGAAACTTTTTATCGGCTGTCTTTTCGAATTACGTCACGCGGTGGGGAGAAGGGCGGGGGCGCAGCGGGGTCCTCGGGAAAATAACTCCTCCGGAGCCCCCCCCCCCCCCCCCCCCCCCCGTCCCCCGGGTCGGGAGCGCCTCCACGCTCCGCCTGCAGCAAATTAGAGGGGAGAGCCGTGCCCTCGGGTTGTCACTGTGTCAAACGCATACTTGCCAAACGTACACCGTGAAAATATGTACTTTAATTATATTTTTAAATCATATGTTATCGAGATTCACTTATATTGAAATTTTGGCTTGGGAAATTTTTTAACTGTTTTTTTATATTTTTATTAATATTATTGTTATTATCTTATTATTGATTTTTTTTATTTTTATTGAAAAATTCTCCTAGAACTCGTTGTTTTCCAGGAGAATGAAACGTAACTCTATATCAAAGTTGCAGAATTTACTCAATCGATTCGACTATGCACAAATGCAGTTCCTGGGCAAATTTTGCTGATTTTTGCGAGTGAATCAGAGGATAAATCAGCAGAACGATCCGTTATAAGTTCTCAACAGTTTACTAGGAAAAACACAATTAGCGGGTGGTTATGTTCCTTAGTTCAAATGTAGTTACGTTCTACTGAGAAAAATGTTCTGTTGAATGAACAGAAATTCCTGATAATAACCAGAAATTCTAATAGTAAACAGAAATTCTGTGACGGAAATTTTTCTTGAAACAACAGGAATCCTCCCTGTTTCGCACAGTACTCCAATCATCTCACAGAGACGGGGTGTAACACAGTGAATCGAGTCAATAAGAGAGGTCGGACATGAAATTTTTGACTAAAACTGCAAATTTTGATGTTTATTTCAAGAAATTCAGTACCTCCTCCGACAGAAAAATTCCGTACTTTTTCGGTACCTCCATTTGAAGAAATTGGAAAAATTTCAAAAATTTGAAAATGCGACAAAAATGACAAAAATTTTTAAAAAATTCCGGACATTTTTGCGGAATTTCCGCACTTTTCCAGTAGGTACTTCCGGACCGCCTTTAGAAAATCAGTATTATTTCTGGACTTTCCGGAAATTCCGGACTTGTAGACACCCTGAGGAAAATTTATCGCGATGCATGATATAAAATAGGCTGAAGACACTTTCCTGATACATGCCTAAGAAAACATACTTCGGATTTTAGGATTACGATCCAAGTCTCCAACACAGGATTTGGTGGAGAAATTTGGCAGTATCCCTTATTTTCCCTGACGAGCACGGTCACTGTCGTGCGCTATCCCGTTCATCTTTTTCAGGGGCCGGATTAGCCCCATTAAAAATGGACAGCCTCCCTCCAACTCCACGCTGGGCCTATCCCGCAACCGTCCGTTGCGAACTCACTAAACTAAAAATGGACAGCGTTCAGCTGAAGGACATTTCGAGAGCGTTTACCGAAACGGAACTGAATGCATGGGCGCATTTGACATTTTAAAAGGCGTATGTTCCTTTTTCATGAGATTCGCGCAAAGAGTCGATGTGTATACATTCGCTATCACGTTGGTAAGTATCCACTTTTACCGTGCAGGCTCCAAGGTTGCAGAATCCTCAAATGGATTTTAATCCATTTAACCATCCATTTATCCATTTTATGGATTAATATTTAAGTGCTGACATAAAACAGCACTTAAATATATCAAATCAATAAATAAAGTAAAGATATATATTAATCATTAACAATAGAGAAGGAGAGGTAGAATAATATATATATTAATCATTAGCAATAGAGAAGGAGAGGTAGAATAATATATATATCAATCATTAGCAATAGAGAAGGAGAGGTTAGGTTAACCTGACTTAAAACAATAATTATAAAACAATAACTAACGATAACTTTGAAAAAAAAAGAAGAAAAACATGTAAAATATGACTTATTTGTCCATGACTTTGGAGGAACGGAACGAGGGACCGAAGTGTAGAGTATATTAAAGCAACTTTTGTGATTTCTACTAACCTGTGCTGTGTTTTAATGTTGAATTTAAGCGGGACTGCGTTCCTGTTAGTGGCTGACCTGCGATGCCGTTTGAGGTGGAGCGCATCGTATTTCACCGGTTCGTAATGTCGGATGAACGCGTTGATAGGCGCTCCTGCAACAAACGGTGAAAAATAAAAATCAGTAACTTCATCAACCGTGGAGTACGATTATTATACACTATTTGACGGATACATAATTCAATCGGTATGGGTGGAAGCGAGTGGTTGTAATGAATGAACACTGCACCATAGAAGAGACCCTATGGTCAGTCCATCATTTGGGCCGAGTAGTTTATCAGAAAGGAACCATAAGGTCGGGTTTAGGCGTTTGGCATATTAGTGGAGGGTCCGTTATCATCTCTCTCTATCTCTCAGGTCTCTGGAATTTACCTGCAACTAGAATGGAGATGTTGCATGTGTGAAGAATTTTCGATTTGACTGTTGATTCTTACTTAAAAGTTCGGAGAAATACGATGGTGCCACTGGTTTTCTCTGAGATCAACTCCCAAGCTCAAAAAAAGCTCTCAAGTTGAGGCCAAAATGGAGGGGATATCCCACCCTACCCTGAGAGTCCACCTATACATCAAGACAAACTCTCCATGCAAAGATAGGGAGCAAATACATTAACAGGGTTGCGTGTTTTCAGTTTTGGAGTCCCCAAATAATGTGGCAGCCCTGTCAATGTATTTGCTCCCTACCTTTGCATGGAGAGTTTGTTTTGATAGGGTAGGGTGGGATATCCCCTCCATTTTGGCCTCAACTTGAGAGCTTTTTTTGAACTTGTGAGTTGATTTGAGAGAAAACCAGTGGCACCATCGTGTTTCTCGCGAACTTTTACGTAGGAATCAACAGTCAAATCGCAAATTCCTCACACATGCAACATCTCCATTCGGCATTCGCGATATACCTCAGGGTCAAGTGCACTGTACAGGTAATCGAACTAATTTTATCATTGACAGGGCGCGCGAGTCATCACCCTTGTTTCAGAGAGTTCCAGAAATCGGTAGATAAAAAGAAGGTGATGGCAGTTGGTGATTCTTTGAAACCGTGTCGTAGGCGAGTACAATTTAGCGCCATACCTAAAGTTCCAAGGAGGTTATTAAAAAGGGAACGCACTGATTGGTGGGTGAGTCGGGTGCACTCGACGCGTAATCAAGGCAGTGATATAATTAGACGGGCGCGGATCATTACCCTTGAGTTTTCCGAGAGTCTGAGGCAAGAGGAAGGTATAGTGGCAGATTCCGATCTGTTTGCATTGTGGCGTAAGCGATTACAATTTGACGTGATATCCAAAATTCCGACGAGGAGAAGTGTAGGTACTGATCAGTAGATTTTTATGATCCATTCATTATTTGAATCAGTGAGTTCGAAAACACATCAACTCGGAAAAGTAAATTGCTCAGGAAACACCTAAAACTGCGCAGCGGGCGAAGAAGTTAGTTTGAGAAAAACCTTTTTGGTACCAAAGGACAAGTACTTAGAGATTTTGTAAAGCACCAAGTTGAAATCGATACACCATGTTTGACGACAGAGAATTAAGCGTTTAAAAATTTCCGAGTTGGTGTATTTTCGTTCTCACCGACTTTAAGGCACTGATTTTTCATAGTCTGCCCTGAAAAATGTATATTTTTCGACCTGAATAACGCTTGAATATTTATATAACTTGTTGGTACAAGGTATATTGAACCGAAAAAAGAAAGAACCGGCCAAAAATCAGAGTTTTTACAGTACTTATTCAGCACATTCTCAAGAAATTCAGTACTTCCTCGACAGAAAAATTCAGTTCTTTTTCAGTACCTCCATTGACGAAATTCGGAANACTGGTTTTCTCTGAAATCATCTCCCAAGCTCAAAAATAGCTCCCGAAGTGAGGCCAAAATGGAGGGGATATCCCGCCTTACCCTGAGAGTCCACCTCTACATCAAAACAAACTCTCCATGCAAAGATAGGGAGCAAATACATTAGCAGGGTTGCCGTGTTTTCAGTTTTGGAGTCCTCAAATTGAGTGGCAGCCCTGCTAATGTATTTGCTCCCTATCTTTGCATGGAGAGTTTGTTTTGATGTAGATGTGGACTCTCAGGGTAAGGCGGGATATCCCCTCCATTTTGGCCTCACTTCGGGAGCTATTTTTGAGCTTGGGAGATGATTTCAGAGAAAACCAGTGGCACAATCGTGTTTCTCGTGAACTTTTACATAAGAAACAACAGTCAAATCGCAAATCCCTCTCACGTGCAACATCTCCATTCAATCGGTATGGGTGGAAGTGAGTGGTTGTAATGAACGAACACTGCAATGTAGAAGAGACCCTATGGTCAGTCCATCATTTGGGCCGAGTTTATCAGAAAGGAACCAACCAAGGCCGGATTTAGGGGGTGGCCACATGGGCCGCGGTCCATGGTGGCCAATTTTGCAATTTTTTTAAATGTGGATTATAAAAAAAAAATCGGATTCAGAAAAAAAATTACAAACGAGAAAAGGCGACAATATCTCTCATTTCCTGATTGTATTGTAATTTATAATTTTTTCGTCTTCCGGTGACACAAGAGACAGCACCTTCAATTATTCAAGTGAAGAGAGAAACCAAACACGCAATTTGGCCTGGAACGGCGCGGCGCAGAGAGCAATAATGGCGAGGACTTGAGATGAAAAGGAGAAGCCCTCGGCGCGGTGGTCAGCATGTAACACATATTAGCGCCTACAAGACTGCATGAATACTTCACGCACTGCGTCAGACACAGTGCGGTCGGCGCGAAACGCATAGCGCCTACAAGACTGCATGGATACTTCACGCATTGCGTAAAACAGAGTACGGCCAGCGCGGCGCGGCGGTGGAAGTTAAAATTATTTAACCATATTTAATTTATGTTTGTTTTCCCTGATGAGAAACCAAGGTTTTCTCCCACTTCGCCAGAAATTTTTTGAGAAAAACTATATAATTCTCCGGAGTTTCAAATGAATCTTTTCAGTTAATCTAATCCATAAAAAAGTAACTTGGTCATACATAATAAAGCGGTGGTAAGGTGGCAGTTCATGATTTTGTTCAAACTGCATGTGACGTTGCGTCAACATCCAAAATTCGCGATATACCTCAGGGTCAAGTGCACTGTACAGGTAATCGAGCTAATTTTATCGTCGACAGGGCGCGCGAGTCATCACCCTTTGTTCCAGAGAGTTCCAGAAATCGGTAGATAAAAAGAAGGTGATGGCAGTTGGTGATTCTTTGAAACCGGATCGTAAGCGAGTACAATTTAGCGTCCATATCTAAAATTCCAATGAGGTTATTAAAAAGGGAACGCACTGATTGGAGGGTGATTCGGGTGCACTCGACGCGTAATCAAGGCAGTGATATAATTAGACGGGCGCGGATCATTACCCTTGAGTTTTCCGAGAGTCTGAGGCAAGAGGAAGGTAGTGGCAGATTCCGATCTGTTTGCATTGTGACGTAAGCGATTACAATTTGACGTGATATCCGAAATTCCAACGAGGTGAAGTGTAGGTACTGATCGATAGATTTTTGTGATGGTACATTCATTATTTCTCAGCTCAGAACATGCCTAAGATAAGCAGGGTCCGGATTTCAGGGGTGCAGAAAGTCCTGTGCCTTCACAATTTTGGAGACAGCCGTCGCATTTTTTGAGGTTTCCTTCACATTGCTGTCCACATAAACGCTTTCCGCACCCCTGCCGGATTTTAGCGGCGGCGCTTTAGCACCAAAATGCAACTTCCGGCGATATGTGCTGAAACTGAAAGCGCTGACCAAGGCTCACTGAACCTCGGGAATGAGACACAGTTCCCTGATTAAAATGTAACATCGAACGATCTTTTACCTCAGAAACTTAACTTGAAAAGTACGAAAGGGAAAATGTCGGAGAAATGGCGTTCGCCATAAAGTTTTCTTGTCTGTAAAATATCGCGACACATGATGGGACGACGGCCATTTCGAGTTTCCCATTGAGTTGTGTTAGTGGAGGGTAACTCGTCAGTATCTAAATATGTATTCGTTTCGTTGTAACATTTTTGCAGCGCAAAGCTCATATAATTAAATGCGCTAATTTCACACAAAAATTCGCCGTTTTTCGGTCGAAAGAACGTAACTTCATTTCAACGTACACGGGAAAAAAATTCCTTACGGTTACTTGAGGTTACACGGTTTCGTTTTTGGCCATCGACATTGTCTTTGGATTATACCAATGTTGCACAAATAATATCGTGAAAATAGAATTCCCTGACATTTTCCTAATTTTCCTGACCCATTATGGTGAAATTATCTGACAACTGAGGATATGCCAGGTGGTTAAGAAGACATAATTGAAAATATTTTTCAGGCGAATTTGTTGTTCGAAACCTCAAACCTATTCTAGAAAGCAAAGAAAGGTGATTTAACAAATTTTTCCTAACACTTTCATAATTTTCCCTGACATTTCCTGGTTTTCCTTGGATCTGTAAAATTCCCTGACATTTCCCGATATTCCCTGACTGTGGCGACCCTGCGCAATGGAAATACGGGCAGGGATTAGCACTTTGGCCATCGACATCGTCCCTGGATGATGCACGCACCTGTTTGATCATCATAGCACCGGTTCGATCTCCTGCAGAGCCGCGAACTTTGATATCACGCCACATCGTACCCGTTAGTGTAAACAAATCGCGAACTGCAATCGCCTCCTTTTTATCCTGCGACTCGGGCGAGGAAACAAGGGTGCGATGACTCGCGCGCCCTTTTTAATTATAGCACTGGTTCGATCACCTACCCGTCGAGTGCATACTCGACTCGTTGCTCGCGAGTGAGTCAATATCGCGATGAGGCAGGTGCAGGTTAGGTGGAAAACTTTCCAGCGTCCCGATGATGCGATGCCGCGAATACTTTCGCTCCGATTCAATCCGTACGTGACGACGTGACGGGTGTGAACGGGGCCTGACGAAAGCGAGCGCGGCGCCACGCACAGTGGAACGAGCCAAAATTCAGTACTTTTACAGTACATTCCCAAATAATTCAGTACCTCCTCACAAGAAAAATTTAGTACTTTTTCAGTGCCTCAATTGATGAAATTCCAGGGTGTCTATTAAAACAGGCTGACCAAAAACAGTACTTTTCCAGTAGTTTCCCAAGAAA